TCCACTTGTTCTTAAAATCCCAAATACTTAAAATGAATAAATCAGTCTATGTAACATATGTAATACTTTAATAATTGACTTAAGAAATACAGTTCTTTATTTATAAAAAATAAACAAATATTTTCTGTGAAATTCAGTAATTAAGTTAATTCTGTAAAAGTAGTTATGCCATTATAATCTTGCCTGCTGGAAGAAAAAAAACAATAGAACCCCTCTCAAAACACAATAAAAATATAATGGATTTCAGGGTTATAATGGGAATTGTATTGGTTTTAATGTAAACTATAATGGTGTCTATTTGATGGATTCTATTGGTGGGATGTAATCTGGCAGATGGCAACCAATGGAACAACAGTAATTCCTATTGGAATAATGCCCAAAACAAAAAGGAATTTTGTAATGGTTTAATGGAAACTATAAGAATTTTTGTGAAGGTTTCTATTGTTTTTTTTTCAGCAGGGTAATGATGCCCATACTGTGCTGCACATTATTGACAATATTGAGCTGAAGCTTGACTTTGCAAATTTAAAATCGCAAATCAAATCGCAATCGCAATATCTGTCAAAAAAAAATTGCAATTTGATATTTTCCTCCAAATCGCATAGGCCTATTTCTCATCACCTAACTTCAACCAACCTACTGGAGCCCCAAAGAGCATCAGGACTCTCTTTCAAACAGGCGAGACGTGCAAGTATCAAACTTAGTCTTATTAATTGATACATTAAGGCCCAATCCCAATTCTACCCCTTAGCCCTTCCCCTTTCCTACCTCTCCGTTTTGCGCATTCACGTGAAGGGGTAGGGGTGTCTCGATTCTCTTTTGGTTGGAGGGGTAGGGGTAAGGGGAAGGGCCAGATAGCCCTTCAAACGAAGATTTTTCGGGACCACACTTCAAACTAAGGGGTATGAATTATCTCAGTGTAAACCGGCTTCAGGGGCAACATGGCTGCCCGAGTTAACAAAAAGACACATACAGTGAGGAAAAAAAGTATTTAGTCAGCCACCAATTGTGCAAGTTATTCCATTTAAAAAGATGAGAGAGGCCTGTAATTTTCATCATAGGTATACCTCAACTGCAAAAAATCGCTAAAGTTTGCTAACGTCAAATCATTACAGACTGCACGATAGTGCCACAACATATTTTCATGTCTGATCAGGGCGATAACCACCATAGACATTGAGGAGGGCTAGTACCCCCAATAATTAGAAATCGCTAAACCCTTTCCACAAATATTGCCAATTCAAGAGAGAGAGAGATGAAAGTTGCGTGTATGCACGTCTGTGCATATGATGACGTGTGACGTATAGTAGTGGTGTCCCAATTCTTAGGGGAATATTTTCCCCCTTAGGGGAATGGGAAGGGGTATAAAATAGAATTGGGATTGGGCCTAAGTATCATTTGCACCTTTTACAAAGGTGTGTTTGAACTAAGAAACTGATGTTTCCTTCAGGCTGTAGATCTGCTGAATATCAAATGGTACCATAACTTCATGTTTTTATTTTGTTTTATTCAAACTGCTTAAGCTTGAACCCTTTTTCCTATGCCAACTATATGCGCGCGTGTGTGTATGTGTACTAGTTTAAGTGTTTATGTAGTTAATAAAGTCTTGCTTGTACCACAATTGAGGTTGTTCATTGTTTGCTCATAACTGGAGTCCTTAATCATGCAGATATTTGCTACATGCTCTGAGTAGTATTGTACAATAAGAAAGTTATTTTCCTTAACCAGGAAATTAATGTTCTTAGAATTGACAGACAGTTGACACTGAGAGGTCAAATGAATGCTTACAGCGGATCTTACTATTTATAATTAATTATAACTAGTTATGATTAATTATTCATATTCCCCCTTTGAGCTGATTCGCTACAGCTATATTGAAATATATTTAAATGACTATTTATTTTATTATGGTATTCATGATTATATATCTTTATGTGTTTATGTAGTTAATAAAGTCTTACTTGTATCACACTTGAGGTTGTTCATTGTTTGCTCATAACTGGAGTCCTTAATCATGCAGATATTTGCTACATGCTCTGAGTAGTATTGTACAATAAGAAAGTTATTTTCCTTAACCAGGAAATTAATGTTCTTAGAATTGACAGACAGTTGACACTGAGAGGTCAAGTAAATACTTACAGCGGATCTAAATATTTATAATTAATTATAACTAGTTATAATTAATTATTCATATTTCCCCTTTGATTCACTACAAAGATGTAGAGGAAACATTTAAAACCATATGATGCTATTTTAAAGATCATTATTTTGTGTATTTGGTGTAACAGAATATGTTGGCGCTTTAATGTTCAAAAAACACATTATGTTTCAAATACTGTACATTATTGTAGGTCCTCTATGCCCCGCCTTTCTCAAACACGTTGTTTTCAACAAAGCCCCCTCCTTTGACAAGCGCAGTCTGCTCTGATTGGCCAGCTGACCCAGTGTATTGTGATTGGCCGAACACCACAAGCACGCGTCGGAAATGTAACGCCCCTTACCATACTCGCGAGCTTCAGCTTTCAAAGTAAATATCAAGACAGTTAATAATGTTGTTAGTTTTACCATCAGTTCAAGCCCGACAGGGCAACAGAGTCGCGTGACAGACACAGTGATGATGCAGTACACAAGCCTGCTGATTTGCTATAATTTCTGACAGGCAGTTCACTCTTCTGTGATGTGACCCTATTCCCCTCACACACACACACACGACGCGTTACTCTGCGCTGCGCAAAACTCAGCATTTGAACAGTCAATAGCAAATACTTAAACTAATAACAAAACATCCTTACAGTCACTGATTCAGAAGCGCCAGATTGTCATAGCAATGTCGGAATTTACTCTTTTTTTTAGAAATAGCCTTTGTGCACAGCCAGTCTTGTACTCTTCTAGGTTAAAAAAACTGTCGTCCATAAAATGTGTTGCACAAATTCGAACATCTGGGCTGTGCTGTTCTGTTGTAAATAAATCTTAACCAATGATTCCTAATTGCATCTACTTCCGGAAGGCCAAATAAAGTGATTTTGCTTTCGCACTGAAACACACAGCTCTCCCTGACATGACTGCATCAACACTACCGCTGTTCCTGAAACCACGCCTTCTTTCTTTGCATGCACATTTGGGCGGCATTATGCTAATATTTCCACATAGTGACGTAGACATGTGGGGGTGTGTTAGAATGAGCCATTTTAGGTAGGCGTGGTTGACTCTTAACTTTTATAAAGAATATCTCTTTGGATTTGAGACTTTAGTCTTTGCAACTTTACAGATCTTCTTTATGCACCAAGAGCTTGTAACACTCCAAAGAGAAAGGAAAACTTGAAATCGCATCATATGACCCCTTTAAGTAAATAATGAGACCCTTTTATTTGTGGGTGAACTACTTGCTTGAAAAATCTAGTTATGTTCTATTGCATACAGTAGATGCTATCAATAGGGTCAGAGTTACATTTGGTGTGAAAGTACGGAGATAATTCACGCCTCTGGCCTAGATATTCAGGGTTACAGAGAAGATGAATTATTGGTTGTGTGTGCTGTTCCGCACTGGCCCTTATTTTTCTTCCATGCCAGCAATTTTGGGGCCAGACACCTATTTTACAAACATAGAGCTCCGGATACACACTGCTCTCGCCCACCTGCAGCTCCCTGCATTCTGTGAACACGCTGGCCGTATTATATTTATACCACTGAATTTGGTTCAATCATTGGTCTAGTCAGGCTGCAGAGCACACATACATATATACACACACAGATAAGGGTGGATTGAGACTTTGGGACACATTTTTGACATTTTTAGAGTCATTTATAAATTTATATTTTTGTTGTAAATAGTATAAACCATTTGCACCATATGGACTGTACCTGAGTTCATTTCTAAGAGTACATTTTTAAGAATTTAAAATTCTTAAAAATCTAAAATTAAAAACAAATAAAATGTCATTGTACAAAAAAAATCTTCAGAAAGATAAAATTAAAAAATTTACTTTGAATTTTATATTCATCAGACAAAACAGCACAACTGTTTTCAACATTGATAACAATTAATAAAATATTTTAAGCACCAATTAAGCATAATATAATGATTTCTGAAGGACAATAAAACTTGAGTAACAGCTACTGAAAAAAAGCTTTGCAGGAAAAATTACATTATTACAAATATATTAAAAGAGAAAAAACTATTTTCAATTATAATATTTCACTATATTTTTACTGAATTTTGATCAAATAAATTCAGCCTTGATGTGCATAAGAGACCTTCAAAAACATTAAAAACCCAAGAGACCCCAAACTTTTCAAAGATAATGTGGATTCCTTTTTCTTGAATTGATCTAAGCAGTCACACATACACATCTAGAGAAAGAGGACATAAAGCAATAGTTCAGCTGTGCTGAAACAAACTGAATAAATCTACACTGGGATGTCATTAGAAAGATAGGATGTTGTCAGTTATACTGACATTGTTGTGCTACTTTGCACTATATAATCGCATATCTCTCTTTGGCTCACTGTGTCTCAAGCTGCTGACAACCACCATCATTTATTGACTGTAAAGTCTCAGCTGACCTCAAGATGCTGACCCTGTCAGAGTGAACCTCTAGAGGTGGACACAGAAGGGAATCTAGTCCCAAACTCTTACACTTGACGATCAATCCAGCACTCTGCCGAATTAAAGATAGAGACACAAAGAATGAATGATCCCTGGGGCCCTGTACAGGAAGAACTTGATTACTACAGAGTCCACCAGACTACCGCAGCTGGGGGTCCCTCGTCTGCAGAGCTTGATTAAGTGGGGAAAGTTTGTCCTGATGTTATGAGGGCTTGAAATTCTTCATGTTATGAAAATTGTTGTCTCTCAGAGCATGTAACGTTTTGTTAATTAGAACTAACATGTCCCTAATGAATAACTATATAAAAATGCTATAGATAAACAGATAACAGATTTCTTTTTTGAAAGCAAACTAATACCCAGACTGACTCGCAATATACATCTCATCTTTCAGGTCTTAAGGGCTCCTTGCAGAGGATGCAGCTGGAATATGTAGATGTGGTCTTCGCCAACCGGCCTGATAGTAACACACCGATGGAGGGTAAGTTTGGTCATTAAAATGAGTGTAGCCAGATCAAAAGTAAAAAAAATTGGGGGTTGGTAAGATTTTTTTGGGTAAGATGTTTTTGAAAGTAGTCTCTTATAGGGATGCACTGAAATGAAAATTCTTGGCCGAAGCCGAAGCCAAACAAAATTAAACACTGGGCCGAAGGCCGAATACCGAACACCGAACATGGTTTTTCAAAATTTTTCCCGCATGCAGGCCTATTTTGCAATTTTTTCACCATTGCATAAATTAAATAGTCAAAATGTGCTTTTTATTGTTTTGTCCTGCTTTTCAAATAAAAAAATCAATTACAAAACAACAATTTAAAAATATTTACTTAACACTGAACATATTTTAAAGGTGACATATCATGAAAATCTGACTTTTCCAGGTTTCAAGTGCTATAATCAGGTCCCCAGTGTATCTATCAACCAAGGAAATGTGAAAAAGATTAACCCAGTAACTTTGTTTTGGTAAGCCTTTTTCTGCAAGCGTCTGAAAAAAAGAACGCTTCAGATTTCGCTCCCTTGGTGACGTGGCAAAGGGATCTCATTATAATATTACCGCCCCTTAATCTGTAAGTTTCCACCCACAGCGCCGTCATTTTGATTTAGCAAGCAACAGTGTACCAGCTCTAATGCCATGGCGAAAGTTTGAGCAAAACATGCTAACTGTTCTATCTTTGGCTGCACAGACGAGCACAGAACACTATTTAGAGTCCCAGCCTCAGAGGAGACAAGAGAGCAGTGGATTTATAGATTTATGTACTGCTGCTGCCACACAGATCTAAAATAAACATGCAATTTATTTCCCAGAAGTTTACCTTCACAGACATAACCAACTGTTTTTGTAACTTGTGTGTGTATTTAACATAAACTGTGTGTGTGAATAAGAACGTAGTTTAGTACTCACATGCTGTGACAGCAGCTTTCTCTCTGTGTGCTTCAGATGTGTGCACTCAGAAAACCGTATATCAGAAGTTTAAACTCATATGGTATAAAACACATGACTTCAGTGCGATAAACATGATAATCAGAACCATAACCGATGTTTTTAACAGGTACGAGCTGTAAAGGCGCAGCTTTATTCTGGAAAAGAGGCCGGGGAGCAGCAGCTAATTTGCATTTAAAGAAACAGGCACGAAAAACAGCCTGTTTCTGCTTCCACTCAAAATAGGCATTTTCAAAATGTTATAATAAATGTTCTGTGGAGTATTTTGAGTTGAAACTTCACAGACACATTCTGGGGACACCAGAGACTTATATTACATATTGTAAAAAAGGGCATAATATGTCTCTTTTAACATTCTAGCTGACATTATACCAACAAAGCACAATTTAACTTAAAAATAATAAGTTAGTAAAATAATATTTTTTGGCCATTTTTGAGACTTGAATCAGGCATGTATTTTTTCACTGTACAAATAAAGGCAGTCTTGCTGAGCAGAAGATAATTCTTTTAAAACAGAATATATTACAGATCCCAATTTGAACACTATGTGTGAATGTTAAATGTATTAATAGAGCTAGTCAAACAGTGCTGCACTTATTTGATCACAACATCCAGTAAAACAGTAATATTGTGAAATATTATTACAGTTTAAAATAAATGTTTTCCTTTTTCAGTGTATTTTAAAATGTAATTTTTATTCATGCAATGGCAAAGAAGTCTCCATTTCTCCATTTACATGATCCTTCAGAAATACTTATAATTCTATACTGCTCAAGATTTTCTTATATGTGACCCTGGACCACAAAAACCGTCTTAAGTCGCTTGGGTATATTTTTATCAATAGCCAAAAAACATTGTATGGGTCAAAATTTTCGATTTTTCTTTTATGACAAAAATCATTTGGATATTAAATAAAGAAATATTTTGTAAATTTGCTACTGTAAATATATCAAAACTTTATTTTTTAATTAGTAATATGCATTGCTAAGAACTTCATTTGGATAACTTTAAATGCGATTTTCTCTTTATTTTGATTTTTTTGCATCCTCAGATTCCAGATTTTCAAATAGTTGCATCTCGGCCAAATATTGTCCTATCCTAACAAACCATACATCAATGGAAAGCTTATTTATTCATCTTTTAGATGATGTATAAATCTCAATTTCATAAAATTGACCCTTATGACTGGTTTTGTGGTCCAGGGTCACATTTTATTAATGTTTATTAATAACAGTTGTGCTGCTTAATATGTATAAAATACAAATGCTTAATATGTATAATATATAAAAACAGAATACTTTGATGAATAGAAAGTGCAAAAACATCATTTATTTGAAATATAAATATTTTATTATTAATGTCTTCAGTAGCTGGGTTTCCATCCAAAGTCGCGAATTTAACTTATGCGCAAAATTGGAATATCTCATAAAACATTTGCGAATAAGCACCGTTTCCATCCAAGTCAAAAAAAAAAAACTTCACTTCTTGATAAACTGGCATTAAATATCACTAAGATAAGTAGGAAAAGCCACTGAATATAATCATTTTCATATATAATAAAATACTTGCGCCTCAGAACGTGCAAATGAAACACAATAAATGCAGTCATTGCTTTTGGAGGTGGATGCCTGCTGTTTGGGAATGCAGTCAAGACAGTTCTGTGAGGCAATTGTACAGAAATACTTTGACGACAGACTTTGGTCGGGCATTTAAGAATGTCCATAACAACATTTAAGAAGCTGTGCAATGAGATCGGTCCACTGGCTAGTCAATTTATATGTCCCATCACGCAAAGTCACATGACTTTTTGATGCACATGGAGGAATTTATTCGGTAAATGCATTTCCATGTCCCATTATTCACATTAACTCTTCACAATTTACAAGTAAATAAAGTAAAAAAACACCTAAAGCGAGCGTAAAAAAAATGCAAATTAAGGGATTTTTTTATTTTAATTTGGCGATTCCATCACTCATTTCTGATGCAATACTTCAAAATGTGCATAAGAAAAGGGTAATGGAAACATGGCTAGTGTCATTTTTGATCAATTTAATGTATTCCTGCTGAATAAAAGTATTATTGAACAAAAAATAAATAAAAACCCCAAACTTTTGAACGGTAGTGCATGAAAAGTGTTTGGGGTATATTTTTAAGACTTTAGTAGACTTTGGTAGGTTTAGTCATTCATACAAGTTTCCTCTTAAAGGAATTTACTTGACCTTCAACAAAGCACTTTGGGACACTCTCTGGAAAATGTGGAGAAGTTAGCGATGACAATACTGCTTCAAAAGCCATATACAAAAAAAGTGTGTGTGAGTGTGTCCGACTAAAAGGGTTGGTGTCCTGCAGGCACATCCATCTAAGTTCTCTGAAAGATGTATTCATGACAACAGGGCTACAATTAAGTGCAGTCCTCGGGGTGCCATCATGGTAAAAATGCTTAATAACCAGACTTCTTACTTCTGCCCAAAGTACACAATGGCACAAAGGCTACCATGCTGCAGTTAAAAGCTCTGTGCTGCCCAAAGCTTCAAGTGCAGTTAGCCTGAAAATCTAATCTACTGTTTAATAATGTGTTTTTGGTACAAACCACAGGATAGCAAAATCTCTTGAACACTGTAAGCCAGGTACAACATGTGAGGTAGAGACAGAGAGAAACAAATTCACCAAAAGTGATTTGGAGAAAATGTGAGGATAGTTCATTAAAATTAGTATCTGCTACTGGTGCCATTTTTTTAATTGAGAGGTTTATTCTCAGAAGAGCAAAATGAGAAGAAAGATAAGTGAGCCAGCCTCTTTGACCTTCAGTACTCATGAAGAAATTACCAGCTGTTGCAACAACAGCTTCTCTCTTTCGTTTATCCATCCTATTAAGTCCAGACATATGCTTAAACACACGCAAAGAAGAGAGAAGAACAGATAGTAATAGAGGAAGACAGAGAATATGAAAGACAGAACAAGAGCGATCAGCTTCAAAATAGTTTTTCTGCTGATCAATAACAAAGAGTAAAGCCAGAATAGATGCAAATACATTGCAAGTATCGTAGTCTATAGGCTACTTGATTTGCATTCTTGATTTACTGATGCGGCAACAACAGTTTAATTCGTTTTAACCTACATGCTCAACAAAATTGTTTTTAAACAGTTGCACTACAATAACAGTATTTGATCTAAAAGAGAAAACTGACCAAAGAATTGGAATAAACATGAATTTGCACTAACCCCCCTACAGTGCCTCTAGTGGCAGTGCTGAAGCACAACACATTCACCTGCAATGAGAAGATGCAGTGTCTTATCAATTACATTGACCCTGCATTGCTAGAAACATTTTAGTGGAGATTGTAGTAGTGGAGTAGATTGTTTGTTTTTACATTTTGGATTTATTATTATTTGTTATGTGTTGAATTTAAGTTTTTAAAAAGATATTGCAGAGTGTGACGTTATATCACGACCGGTGCATCATCCAAATAAATTTTGCATGCTCAAAGTGTAGTGTGACCACAACATTAACCATAGAGGAATTCAAGCCAGTTTATGCTTTTATAGCTTTTAAAGATGCTAGGCTTTTTTAAATACCTTGCGTAAAATGTCCAATACTACCTGGCTGATATCACTGTAATAGGTGTCCTGAGAATTTGTAATGTATGTGTGACAGCCCTAAACTCTGTAAGCAGCAAAAAAGTCACTCTTTAGCCAATCAGAAACACTCTCTGACTGTGAATCATTTTATGCAGGCTTGTTGCGTCCGAAATCATATACTGTATGAGTAGGTACTACCTGTAAATTTAATGAGGACTTCTTCTGTGACCATTAAAAAACGATGCTCTATTAGTATAGATGTGTATCAAATTAATGAAATACGTAGACACAACACCAACACGTTGCCATTGTCATGTGACTTAAGCCCACAGTATACTTCAGTTTTGACAGCCGAACTCATAGCCTTTCAGTTAGTATACTCCATTTGATAGCATGCATGAACACATGTGCTCGACACATGTGCAATAAAAAGTTTCATCCTTGTTTTGTGTCTGGGTCTGAGTATGTTGTTGTTCCGTCTCATCGGTTTCTTTTTTAACTGTGAAACTATAGGCCTGGGCACTATAAGTGCAAAAAAGCCTTGTGCAAGCTAAGTGTATGTTGTAGAAAAATCGGACTGCAGGCATACAGTGCGGACATACCATGCTGTTGATAAAAATGTGCATCACTCGCACTGTATACAAACACAGACGTATACTGTGGGCTTTGCGCTGTCAGTTGCATCATTTCTCTGCCATTCGCAACTCCTCCACTGTGAATTTGTCATACTACTCTTTCCATATAGCTACTGTCTTTCAATATATGCATATTCGGATACAGTTCAGGTTTGCTGATGTGTCTGTGGAGGATGGAGTTTGGAGTTAGCAAGTTAGCATGGCTGAAATAGCTTACCTATAGCACCATGTAAAGCCAAAAAGGAGATTTTCAAAAGATTTTCATATTCGCTCTTTTCGTGGGCTCAATCAATATTCTCTTGTTAGAGGCGGATCAGCATGGCCCTCTGGTAATGTATGTACCATTTAGAGCTGTTCTGTTTTGTAGCATTCAGGGCTTAGTAATATTTCAAAGCTTTGCGCTGGATGCCAAGGTCACCCTGACTCAGCCATTTGTTCCAGACTTCTCTACTTTAACAAGCTTTTCAGCTTTGACTCCATCACTACTTACTCAGACTCATGAAATCCAACACAGTTCCTGCCAACCGTCAATCCTTGATTGATTTTTAAGTGCTACTACCCTATACTGTTTTTACATTTTCCCCAAACAAAAGATGTAAAAACGATTATTTGTTACAAACACAAGGTTAATGACAACCTTACCAGTTCACTTCACCCATTGAGTCTGCCTATTAAACCCTAAATTGAGTCCATTTGCTGAAAGAATATTAAATGAGTGTTCATTCAGTGCCTTGTTAGAAATCCTACAAAATCACTTTATGATGTCTGTCATCTGAAATATGTTTTAATATATAACTGTAAGAAGCTATAGAACTTGAAATGACCATAATGCAGTTTCTTACAGGGGTGCAAAATGAATCTGCTCCTGCCCTGATTGTAAAGCAAAATGTGATTGGCTATAGCAAGAACATGCTACGATTGGTCAGCGAGATGTGGCTGCTATTTGATTGGCTTGAGTAGACGCTGAGGTCCATGCATTTGTGGGTTTGTCAGCATCTTGACGCCAGAAATATTTCAGCGATCCACAAATGTACAGAAAGCCATTCACAAATGTACGGGGAACGATCCACAAATGCATGCAGCGATTCTACAAATGCACAGGACCTTATTCACAAAGGAATGCCAGGCAAAGTTGTCAGATATTTGTGAATGTGTTTTTTATTCTCATTTTATTTATTTGTGAATTTAATTCATGTTTGTGAAATGCTAAGATTTTTTTTTTGTGGATCTCATTCTGTTTATTTGTCAATATGTTATATTTTTTGTTAATCTTCTTTACATTTATTTGTGGATTATAATATATTTATTTGGAATTATGCAACAACTCTATCTCCATACTCTAGCTACATTTTTGATAAACTCCAAAAATGTACATGCAATTCACTGCAGTTTCCATCTTAAATTATCTCTGTTGTTTTATTCCTTTAAAAACAAATTATTATTACAGGGGAAGATTATTCATTAACAAAAACATATTTTCACACAGTTCCTTGCATAATACTATGTTATGACCTCAACACTTCAACTAACATTTTTAACTGACAATTGCATCACATAACCAGTTACTTTTCTGACATAGTAAACTTGCTCGGTAGCTCACCTGGTACAGCACTGAACTTGTGAAACATGAGTCATAACACTCAATAGAAGAGCTCAAAGACTTAAAGAAGCAAGCTAAAATGGCATGGTTGCTGTAATAAATCTCACGTTTGCTTTTGTTAACATTATATGTCAAGTCAAGTCACCTTTATTTATATAGCGCTTTTAACAATACAGATTGTGTCAAAGCAACTGAATAGCATTAATTAAGAAAATAGTGTGTCAATAATGCAAAATGACAATAGTAAACACTCATTTTTCAGTTAAAGACAGTTCATCATTCAATTCAGTGATGTCATCATCCAGCTCAGTTCAGTTTAAATAGTATCTTTGCAATCATTTGCAATCAAGTCAACGATATCGCGGGAAATGAAGTGTCCCCAACTAAGCAAGCCAGAGGCAACAGCAGCAAGGAACCAAAACTCCATCGGTGACAGAATGGAGAAAAAACCTTGGGAGAAACCAGGCTCAGTCGAGGGGCCAGTTCTTCTCTGACCAGACGAAACCAGCAGTTCAATTCAAGGCTGCAGCAATGTCACATTGTGCAGAGGACTCATCTGGTTCCTGTGGTCTTGTCCCGGTGGTCGTCTGAGACAAGGTCTTTACAGGGGATTTGTATCTGGGGCTCATCTAGTTGTCCTGGTCTCCGCTGTCTTTCAGGGCTGTGGAGGTCCTTTCTAGGTGCTGATCCACATTATATGTTAGGTTTAGGTAGGGTTTAGTGAAGGTGGTATGTTGTTTTCAAATGTGATAAAGCATTAACCTTTTCCTCTCACTCACCACACATTCTATTTTGAAAGTGCCTCGAAAATTGCAAGCCTAGACTCCTTAATCATTTCTGGTACTTATCTTTAAACATGGGACAGATGTGGATGCCTCTCTCTCTCTCGCTGTCTGTCTCATAGGTATGGGCAGGCAGATCACTATGCAGTGCTTTTCTGCTGCATTGACGTGAAAAGTGTCCAGAGTTTAGCGCTTCTCACTGTGTGCAGTGCATATTAAAGTTCCTCAGTGGCTCTGCAGTCCCCTGACTCTCTCGGCCTTGCTTTCTCGCGTTTTGTTTCTTACCTGATTACAATTTCATCAGCAGGGTAAAGGCTGAAGGGAATATAAAGTTACACTGTACTTTATCATTCCTTTTTGTTCCTCATGAGTGCACTTATTGAATTAAGTGAAACCACACAAAAGTACGTCAAGCTGAACATAATCCACCCAAGCTGAGACACACAGTGAATGAAACTATATTGTACAATACCAGATTAAAGGCCCCCTGAAATGCTTAGAAACACTCAGCATTACTCTATGTGTTGACGTCATTTTAACTGAAACAGGAAGACAGGGCGGGACATATCAAGCAGCTTCAACGTCTATTTTATAGTGTAGGGGCGGGCACTTCGGATTCTAGAGAGCATTTGATTGGACAGAAAGTTTGATGAGAAGCTGAAGTACGATGTGATGTCAAAAAGACGGACTTTGACTTTGAATGCTTATATCTTCTAAATGCGAATTTTGTCACTGTTTTGGAGCACACTGCCTTGTAGATAACCTTAAGACTAACATATTGATACTAACACCCCAAAAACTGTAATTTTGATTTCATGGGGACTTTAGTGGCGCTTTTCGACTGCATGGTACGGCACGGTACGGCTCGGTACGGTTCACTTTTGGGGGGTTTTCCACTGGGTACTTTTTTTAGTACCACTTCGGTTGGGGTTCCAAGTGAACCGTACCATTACCAAAACGTGACGTGTAAACTCTGCTGATCACGGATTGGCTGGAGAGAATCGTCATTACCTGCGTCACCGAACTTGCGACACAAACACAAAAAAACGCTAGATTTAAATCAGCACAGCCAGCGAAGGATCAAACGCAACTGTTTTGAATGAGCGCACCTTTTTTTTAACAACCAAAAAGTTTTGTTGTCTGTTGTGGAAGAACAGACGTTCCTCTCGTTGATAGCAGAGGAGCGGATCCAGCGAGAGCTTGATGGGGCGACGCGGAATGAACAATTTTTTTTAGGAGTCGCGGCAGTAGAGGCGGCGCGACTATAACGACATATGAATAATCCCGCCCACTCTAAAGCAGTACTGAACTGCAGTGGAAACGCAAAACATGCCGAGCCGAACCATGCCGTGCCGAGCCGTACCGAGCCGAGTCGTACCACGCAGTGGAAAAGCACCATAAGTCACCACCTGAAGTCTAAGATGGCACACATTTTCTGTAAAAAAAAAAAATCTGTAGAAGTTACTGGATATTTTCTGCATGAATGCATACAAAATATGGGAAAACACCAATACTGAAAATTCCTTCATATTAACACAGTATATATATTTATTTTTATGGACTTTAAACTTAACTTAACAAAATTCTAGTTAGTTGACATGCAGTTGCAAATTTACTTATAATTAGTAGAATGTCTAAAGTGGACTTTCAAAATAAAGTGTAACTAAAATCTACTTTAATTGAATTTCTACTGAGCTTTGTATGTAATGTTTTTAACTATATTTGTTATTACACATTTATAATGATAAAGCAGTTTACTACATTTAAAATATAAACATTTTAAAGGTAATATTGAATAACAACACACTACAGTTAAAACTATAATCAAGTATTTAATATGTGATTTAGTATGTTAGTCTACATCAAAGTAAGTACTTCTTTAAAGCATGAGAAAAGATGATTAAAACAATGATTACAAATGTACTGTAAAATAAATATTTTAATTTAAAAGTGTGTTACGAAACAGTCATGAAAGTGTACACAGACATGAAAGTGCAATTAAGTGGTCTTTTATTTCATTAAAATTATATTTTCTGCAAATGTTTTTTTATAAATACTGTTAAGATTTGAAGTACACTACAGGTGCACATTCAATAAAATTATATTTGCTTCTTTTTTACAAGTGTAATAACATAATTTGAAAATCTTCTCTGCAGAAATTGTCAGAGCCATGACCTACGTGATAAACCAAGGCATGTCCATGTACTGGGGGACCTCACGATGGACAGCTATGGAAATAATGGTAAGTAACATTTTTCTAAACAACATTTGTCATGCAAAACTTTTAACATGTCACCCTGCAGGGCACAGCATTTCAAGAGAATTCAAGTGTATCACTTACATGAGATGAGAGTATTACTGATCACTGATGATTAAATCTATAGGACTGAATTCAGGAGCAAACAGTGTTTGCAGAGATAACAAAATGCCCTCTTGTATCTCAGCTCCTCGATAGTGTACTGTATATTGGCCACCTCACATATTTTTAGCCCTTTGACTGAAGCCAGTGTTTTGCAGTACTGTATGTTGCTGTAATTGCAGTGTAGCACAAAGCAAGTTGGCCCAAACTGATATGTTGTAATTAAGCACTGACATTATTAATTCATGGGTGATAAATGGAGGCTTGATCAGGGTTTTTACAGAGAGGACACACACTGATGAGCTGTAATTTGTGTGACTGTAAAAATACCATGTTCTGGTGTCACCTCAGATCTATTCCACGGAAACATACTCCCTCAAATAGGACATGTGTTCACAGTCTGTAATGAGCTCTGTACATGCATATGCAAACAAGGAGTCGATGGGTTTGTCAGCAATCATATGATATACTATAGACTGTATAGGGGAAACCAGGACTAGCTGTCAATTTTATTACAGTCAGTATTTCTCAGGGTGCACATACCTAAAGACCTGACTACAGAAAAGCTATTGAACAGTTCCACCATTATTACATAGGAAAAATTATATATATATATATATATATAATTAAATTATATTATATTATATTATTCAAAAATTTGTTTAGTAATGTTTTTTTTAATAATTCATACTTTTATTTAGCAAGGATGCATTAAATTGCTCAAAAGTGGCAGTAAATACATTTATAATATTACAAAATATTTCTGTTTCAAGTAATTGCTGTACTGAATTTTCTGTTCATCAAAGAATAATGAAAAAAATGGATCACAGTCTCCACAAAAATATTAATCACAGTTGTTTTCAACAATGTCAGTATATTAAAATGATTTCTGAAGGATCTGAAAGAAATTCAGCTTTGCCATCACAGTTATAGTTGCTATCACAGTTATTGTTATTATGTTGGCTTGAGAAAGCCAACTTACTGAAATGCTAGTTAAGCTACTGCTTCTTCTGAGACTAAATTAGGACTGTATCTCCTCCAAGAGTTTTCAAGCTACAACCACCAAACTCAGGTCAGACCTTCAGACTGGTCTGACTCGGTGTGCTATATCTTTTCTGACTGATCGGACTTACGATTTTCGTTAAACGTTTTCGTTAAATTTTTCATTAAACTACGAAAAGTCCCATAGACTTTCAATTAGGGGGTCAAAACTTTTGTACAGTAAGACTTATAGACTGATGTCTATCACTAGCAAAGCTTAATGACTATCCTAGTAAAACTTGCTAAATCTTGCTAAAAAATGCTAGCAACATGCTAATCATGCTAAAAACATGCTAGCAGCATGCTAATCATGCTAAATCATGCTAGCAACATGCTAGCAACGCCTGTCTAATCTATCTAAACTTTCAAACTTCAAGCTTTTACAACTGCTTCAAACTTTCAGGCTAGGCTTTCTCAAGCCAACTTAAAAACATTTTTTTGATCATATAAATGCAGCTTTGGTGAGCATGAGACTTGACTTCTTTTAAAAGCATCTTGCCAACTAAAATATTTGAACAGTACTGTTTATGAGAACACATTTTAACCTTTCAGTCTTGCCTGAATGTGGTCTTATTGTTCCCTTTCTACCTATCAGCGATAATAAAAATGTGAAATTTTAGATTGAAGAATAGTAATAAGTATTTGAAACTGACATAAGCTCACGCTGAGAAAACAAGCATTTCTGTAAATATTTTAAACTAAACCAGCAAGTATAATATCTGCAATACCTGCTAATCTGATGGTCCACTAGATAAGTTAAGAAAGAATGTGTAGATAATATGTTGAAATTCTAGATATTACAAATATATTGTACACACTGTATATATTTTGATATGAAAGTGTAATGTAATTTTTATCCTCTCTTTCTAGGAAGCATATTCTGTAGCAAGGCAGTTTAACCTGATTCCTCCAGTGTGTGAGCAGGCTGAGTATCATCTCTTCCAGAGGGAGAAGGTCGAGGTGCAGCTGCCTGAGCTCTACCATAAGATAGGCAGGTGTCAATCAATCAGCATTTACTCACTCAATCTCAGTGAATATGATACTGTCAAATTTAGAGAATTCATCAGTGAGAGCATGCAGCAGCTGCTCATATAGTTCATAAATATTACCTTGATTCTGTGGGGGACTGTAGGTGTGGGCGCCATGACATGGTCACCTTTGGCATGTGGGATCATCACTGGAAAGTATGAAAATGGTATCCCAGAATCCTCCAGGGCAGCTATGAAGGTACCCAGAGTTAAAGACAAACTTAATTATAAATTGCTAGAATTTTCTAGAAACCTGCTGCTGCATATACATGATGACAAATCAAATATGTATTTTTTGTGCTTCTTCCTATCTGACTCAACTCATCTACTTTTCTTGTCTTTTTGTCTTGAAGTCATACCAGTGGCTGAAAGACAAGATAGTCAGTGAGGATGGACGAAAGCAGCAGGCAAAGCTGAAAGAACTCAGTCATATTGCTGAGAAGCTGGGCTGCACTTTGCCTCAGCTCGCTGTTGGTAAGACTTCTCCTATCAACACTAGTGGAGCTGCCAGTTCATGTAGACTTTTGAGCAGAGCAGAGCTCATGCAGGTTTTGGTTCTTGTTCTTAAAGCAGCACTATGTAACTTTTTCTGTGTTCAAAATGTGCAAAATGTATATAATGAGCGAGTACATCATGAATTCATCTTCCAAACCGCGTTTTTGTCTTATTCCGAATCACTACGGTACACTTACATTAAGTACTTATATTTGGACTATTGTAGCCTGGTCGGGTTGTCACCGCTGCGGAGTAACACATACCTGCGTGAATCGCCATAGACATAAACTTAGAGAAGTAGCTCTGGTTGGAATGTTCTTCCGCGGGATGTGTGCAGTTCTGTTTATTAACCGCTAGAGCGCCAAAAGTTACATAGTGCTACTTTAAAGGGGTCATATGATGCGTTTTCAAGTTTTCCTTTCTCTTTGGAGTGTTACAAGCTGATTGTGCATAGATAAGATCCCTGAAGTTGCAAAGACTAAAGTCTCAAAACCAAAGAGATATTCTTTATCAAAGTTAAGACTCTGCCACGCCCCCCCTAAAATGGCTCGTTCTAACACGCCCCCACATATCTACCTCACTATGTGGAAATATTTGCATAATGCCACCCAAATGTTCATGCAAAGAAAGAAGGCGTGGTTTCAGTAACCGCAGTTAGTGTTGAAACAGCATGTCAGGGAGACGCTGTTCAGCTACTGTTTTGTTATTAGCTTAAGTATTTGCTATTGACTGTTCAAATGCGGAGTTTTGCGCATCGTGTGTGTGTGTGTGTGCGCGCACGTGTGTGTGAGAGAGAGAACGAGAGAGACCAGCTTCATCACTCCTGTCTGTCACGCGACTCCGTTCCCCTTTCGGGCTTGAACTGATGGTAAAACTAATTACATTATTTACTGTCTTTACATTTATTTTGAAAGATGAAGCTGGCGATTATGGTAAGGGGAGTTACATTTCTGACGAGTGCTTGCGGTGTTCGGCCAATCACAATGCACTGGGTCAGCTGGCCAATCAGAGATGACTGCGCTTGTCGGAAGGAGGGACTTTGTAGAAAACGAAGCGTTTGAGAGAGGCGGGGCATAGAGGACCAACATTGATGTACAGTATTTGAAAAATAATGTGTTTTTTGAACATTAAAGCATGTCAACATATTCTGTTACACCAAATACACAAAATAATGATCTTTTAAAAAGTATCATATGACCCCTTTAAATTATTGCTGAGAGGTGTTGTAAAACATTTGCTACACTGACACAATCAAGGTTTAATATAGATTTAATATTTAACATAGACAAAAACATGACAAAATCTTACCAACTCAAACTTTTAAACAGTTGTGTTTATATAATACTCAGAATTCATGAGATGTACTTTTGAATTCCTCAAAGTCAAAAATACAAAAAAAAGTGTGCACATCCCAAAAAAAACCCAAGGCTCAGGTGCAGGACAAAAATAAGATAAATGCCAACAAAACAAAAAAATGACCAAACACAACTTACTTTTAGTTCTATTTTGCCACCTAATGTCCAAAAATTGTAATCTGCTGAGAAGATTGTTTTAAAGACTTCTTTTGTCACTTTTTCTCTCCAGCCTGGTGTCTGCGGAATGAGGGAGTGAGCTCTGTACTATTAGGAACTTCAAATGCAGAGCAGCTAACTGAAAACCTGGGAGCCATACAGGTGAGGAAATGAATCTCTTGATTTTCTATGCATCGATTCATTTTTTCAGAAGTTCCCTGACTGATTTTTTGCACATTCAGTTTCTTCCAAAGATGACATCCCACGTGGTCTCAGACATTGATCATATACTTGGGAACAGGCCATACAGTAAGAAGGACTATCGGTCCTAGAGGCTCTGGACACAGGCTCAGGGTGAAGAAAGATATGTATGTAGCAGTGTTCATGCCACCAGTGGGTCCTGTTCTGAATCAGTTTTCATCATCGGTCTGACTTCTCTCTGAAGCACTTAGAGTGCCGTCCTCCATAACCTGTACCTGCATCCCCTCTGTTTCTGCTAGTGTGCCTTTGCACGCAAACACAACTGCAAGAATCCCCTCGATTGGTGTCCAGGTGTCACCTTGTCATGGCACCTTGCAGGAGAGCTTCACTCACAAATGTGATCTATGAACCTTATAAACACCCGTTCTTGGCCTCTGCTCTGAAAACCATCAGCCACCATGATGTCTGGCTGTATTAGCACACAGAATGGAGGAACAGAGCATATCGCCCTCTTGTGTTTAAACGAAGCAACTGCAAACCTGTTTCACAGACTGTAGAATACAGACGCAGTGGAGCAATGTGCATTCACAAAGATTCAAGCTGTTTTGCCTGTGCAAGAATGCCTGTATTGATATTGTATGAGGGATATTTTAAAGAGATTATGCGTGTTTGCTTTATAATGTGAGCCACAGGTACATGTGGTAGAAAATAAATAAATGCACACATCTAAACTATAGGAAATTACTTGAACGAGGGTAGCATAAAACTATGAATACATGCTTACTGAACATGCAACTGTATTATAAACTGACCTCAATACGCACTGCAGTATAAATATACAGTATTAGAGTTGATCTGACATGCATAAAGTATATTATGCCAGCACACTAATGCATTTGTGGTAATGTTTGATTATAAATGAGCGACTTGGTTTTTCTTTTAGTAACAGTATGGAAGATATTTAGAGGAAAACAACTTAAAGCGATACCCTTGTGAAAAAGAAGTGTGCTTAATTGTATTGAATGCGCACCTTTAGTGTACTTCAAATTTGCAAAGTATATTTAAAAAAAAACTGTACTTCTAGATAACATAATATTAATGAAGGCCACGCAAGTGACCATGTTTCTTAATACACTTAATAGGACTTTTAAGAAGTCAAATGAAAATATTTACCTTAAAGTACATTTTAAATAATTTTGTTGTAATAATATTTTGCTGTGCTTTAAAGATGTACAATTATTTTGATGTGTTGAGTAACATATTAAAGCACGTGTAAAATACTTGATTATAATTTTAGCTGTAGTTTGTTATTCCATTCAAAGTTACTATATTCAAATGTACTGAATTGCAGCTTCGCCATTACAAATGTGTAATTACACGTATATTTGAATAAATTATATATAGGTTTCAATAGAAATTACATGAAAGTACATTTTAGTTTACCATAAATGCTTGCCAGTACATTTGGCAGTACACCACATTTCAAAGACAAAAGAATAATGATAAAATTACAAACAAAGTTGTACTAAAGTCCTGTTTAAGTGGATCAAAAAACTCTAAAGTTTAGCTGACTGCATTTAATATCAATTTAAACTATAATACATTTTCATTTAATTGTAATTGACATGCAATTAAGTGTCCAATAATATTGCATTCAGTTTGCACTTAAGTATATTCTTAAGTGTATTATTTGCATAATAAGTACTCTTTTTAAAAGTATTCTAAAGCTTTCTTCTTTTTCACAAGGGTAGTTCACCCAAAAATGACAATTCTGTCATCATTTACTTCACCCTCATGTCGTTCCAAACCTGAATGACTTCTTGATTTCTTTCTTCTATAAGATGTATGAATAACTGTTTTTGTCCATACAATGAAGGTCCATTGGGTCAAAAACTAAAAGTCAATGACAAGTTTTCATTTTGGGGTGGACTGACCCTTTCAGAATCAAGGAGCTGCCGATATGCATGGCAGCATTAAGATATAATGGGAATGAAGCTAATTTACTGTTTGTGGGGGCCTCATGTTTGATTTTTTTAGCTCTTTCTCGCCCTACTTGAAAGCCATACTTTAACACGCTCTAGGTATTTTAAACACAGACGAACTGCTTTACCCTGTAGTATTTAAATTCTCAGAGTGTTTAGATTAGTTTTAAACCTGTTGGAATTTGGCTGGAAGAAACAAGATGGTTCTGTGTAGAAAACAACGAGTGAAACTTCAAAAATCGTGTTCAAAGAAACACGGGAGGTTTTAGGAGATCTGTGTGTACATAGTGTTACCTTTAGTCTCCCTGCGGAGTGCCTTGATCCTCACCTGCATGAACATTAGGGCTTGCCCATTCTCCCATGGGTCCATGAGTGTAATACTGTGAGCTTTTCTCAATTGTAAATGATGTCTTTTACAAAAACAAAGAAATCACACCATGTGGTGACTATTGTTTTCTAAAGTTTGTAACATTGTTTCTGAGAAAAGAGGAGCTGTTGGATACACAGGCTGTTGTGAATCTCTGCTTCAGGGTCTTTTACCATATCATGCATCTCTCTCCCTGTATGGCAGCAGTGACTTCTGTAAATATACATATGTAAACAGTACATAGAAGTAGATATATGCTTGAAATAAAAATGCATAAGGCCAGTAAACCCGTGTGTGTTTCCTTGTAAGGGTTGGGCAATATACTGATAATAAACTTGTATAAATTTGACAACCGGTACATTTTGTATCATCGCGGTTATGTTCACATGACATTGCAGTTCTGTGTTCACAAACGTTTGTTGTTTCCATGTATTCTAAAGGACAACAGTGTCATTATTTAGCTGAAGTCAGTTCAGTGTTGGTTCTGTTCATAAAAATCATATATTTTTTTTTAGAAAAACGATAATCAGCATGATAGAAACTACCTCAAATGATGGAAACCATCTTTGCAGAAAAAAAAATTATTTGAAATGTAATTTCATTGTTTTAGTTTGGCTCACATCCCATTTGTTTAAAGGGGTCATAGGATGCTACATGCAAGTTGTTTGAACTGAAATGTGTGTTGGCAGTGTGTGTACTCAACCACCCTACAGGTGCATCTCAATAAATTAGAATGTCGTGGAAAAGTTCATTTATTTCAGTAATTCAACTCAAATAGTGAAATTTGTGTATTAAATAAATTCAATGCACACAGACTGAAGTAGTTTAAGTCTTTGGTTCTTTTAATTGTGATGATTTTGGCTCACATTTAACAAAAACTCACTATTCACTATCTCAACAAATTAGAATACTTCATAAAACCAATAAAAAAAATTTTTTTTAGTGAATCGTTGGCCTTCTGGAAAGTATGTTCATTTACTGTACATGTACTCAATACTTGGTAGGGGCTCCTTTTGCTTTAATTACTGCCTCAATTCGGTGTGGCATGGAGGTGATCAGTTTGTGGCACTGCTGAGGTGGTATGGAAGCCCAGGTTTCTTTGACAGTGGCCTTCAGCTCATCTGCATCTTTTGGTCTCTTGTTTCTCATTTTCCTCTTGACAATACCCCATAGATTCTCTATGGGGTTCAGGTCTGGTGAGTTTGCTGGCCAGTCAAGCACACCAACACCATGGTCATTTAACCAACTTTTGGTGCTTTTGGCAGTGTGGGCAGGTGCCAAATCCTGCTGGAAAATGAAATCAGCATCTTCAAAAAGCTGGTCAGCAGAAGGAAGCATGAAGTGCTCCA